TTCAATCTGAACGGTGGAGATCGAATTTCAACGGTTCAATCTCGAGTTATGAGCTTCTGAACATCCTGCATATTTTTGTAGATCAAGAAGAATCTTTATTTGAAGGTCGATTGGAATCTACGTCCTTGAAGAAGATCTTTGAGAAGGTGTAACAAGCCGTGGAGATAGACGCAAACCGAGTTTGTCGTCAAGTCATTCGTAAGTAGACAAATCAATACATTAGAAGGTTCTGTTGTGATTGATTGTGTAATTCTTACGGTGATTTAGTGGAAGAGCTATTACACAGACGTAGGCCTTGCAGACGTAGGAGAATTTGCTCCGAACTGCGTGAACAATTCTAGTGTCTTGCTTGCTGTTTTTACTTCATATTTTGCGTGTGTGCTTGTGACATAGAAGTCTTATAGCACACTGTCCGTCATCTGTTACTGGACAGTGCTGCAGCGTCTTCTCTACAACATAGTTGATTGTTTTGTTTGCATAGCTTGTGTTTGCTGTTATCCTCTGCACCCCCCACGAACTTACAGTGTGATCTTGTTTGATTTGTCTTAACATATAGATTATTAATATATAATTTCTATAATTTTTTAATATACAAATTACAAGATAAAATGGATTAAAGAAGTGTATGGGATGATGTGTAAAAATGAAAGTGGACAAATACTCTAGGACGGAGGTAGTATGAAATAAATGAAATGGAGAAATAAAAACATGAGTAGAAAAAGAGAATGTGAGACAAACATGTTTTCCCAATTGACAAGCATGACATAATCTATGTAGTTGACTTTTATATATTAAATGAAGAGAAAATGAGGTGGGGGAGTCCACTAAGGATGGCATGGCTGTGATGTCCAAGGCGGAGATGACACGTTTGGAGATCAGTGGTGGAGAGGTGAGCTTGGGCAGGTGTTGGATGCATGGGGTAGATGAGGACATTACTACTGGACTGATGAATCACGTGTTCTATCCGAGGGTCCTTCATAGTTAAACCATTTTGGTCAAATTTAACAGAACAATTATTGTCGCGGGTAAATTTTCGAACAAAGATAAGGTTGTGAGTCATGTGTGGGGAGACAAGGACATGTTCGAGAAAAAGAGGGTGTTTAGAGTTTAAGGTGCTGGAACATGATGCAATAGTGGTTACTTTAGATCAATTACCAACAGTTATATGTGTATGAGAAAACAAACTTTGAGAAAAAACATGACAAAGAGTACCTTGGTTGGAGGCAATATGGTGAGAGGCTGCGGTGTCCATGAGCCAGGATGGTTCGTAGAATGTTATGGTGTCAAAGTAGTGGGGCTAATTTGGTAAGGGGGGGGGGATAGGGCGCACGAGTTGGGTGTAGAGGCTTGTGGTGTAGA